CCTGCACAATTGGGAGGCGGGGAAGCCGATTGTTTTGCAACACTAGTTTCCGAGGGGAAACGGGGTGAAGCGAATCGTTTTCATGGTGTTTTGTAGAGAAAAAGACACCTAGGAAGGAAAAAGTGTATATCTAAGCTGGAAGGGTTCGCTCGTCATCATCGGCTGATGGTGGGCCGATGTTTGGAAAGATACCCGCGCACCGTTCATAATTTAATGCATTCACAACTCCCATGCATTCCGGCCGATCCCTGTCTCGCGCGATCGTGGGTGGTCAAAATTGACGGGGTGAGAGCGAGTCGTGTTTGGCAAAAAATCCCGATGGCCCAGACACGCGACCGCTTTAAAATAGTTCAGCGAATGTTGTGAACACCAGCCTCCTTGATTCCGACTGTTCACCGACGGGGTAAATCTTGAGGCAGAATCAACAAGTCGGTTTTGGGCAGCTTGCCCCGTTTGAGAGCTTCCCTTCCAGCTACCTACCTGTGATGCCAGTGCGGGTCCGGCCAGACTGGGAGCTGGTGACGGACACTGCTATCCTCACAACAGCTATGAGACTGACCTTTGTAAATTGAAAAGAGTCTATTCTTCCTCTACTAGAGCGATCAATTCTCCTGTGGTTATATACCTTACTGCTTGACTATTATCGCTCTGATTACCTTCGTCGTTATCGTCACTGTCGTCCAGTAGTGAAGTACAAATATCAGGCGGTGTATTTAGAAACCTGGAAAGTGCCTTATTAGAGCAACTTCTTCAATTGTGAGCACTCAATCTGGCGGCCCAGAATCTTGAAGTCGTTTTAGGTCAGCACGAGATAGTTTTTGTGGTGTACATACAGTTGTTCATTGACTGAAGTTAAGTACAAGAGTATGTAAACAGTCAGTGATGAGCGATGGAAGCGATTTTTCTGTAAAATTCCCGACAACGCAGGTCACTCAGTCCCAGTGCCTCACTGAATCGCACATGAAATTGGTTCAATGATGAGCTCCGTTCTTGTACAAGCTCCCATCGTACAAAGCATGTCTTTGACTTTTGACGGTGGGCCCTTGCACCCCTCCACAACCTCTCCGAAGCTATTACCCCACCATTCCACCTTGCCTGCCTAACCTTACCAATGACGACCAACGGACAGCTCAGCTCCAGCTCTGCGACTTCAACACCCTAACGCCAAAACCAAAACCTCCTTAATTCCACTCACCCACACGAATAACCCTACAAACGAAGGAAAGAAGCAACGATGGCGCCCTCGCAAAAGGTCGCCGAGCGGCTCGCCCAAGCCGAGTCCGCGGGCGACAAGGCAGCAGCCTACGAGGCCATCATCACCGACATCAAGAACCTCTCCTCCCCGCCGACAATCACCTCCGACCTGAACGCCGTCCTCGATGCCTTCTTCGCCGCCTCGCTCGGCATCGTGTCCACCCGCGCCGTCCTCACGACCTTCGTCAAGGTCCTCCGCGACCTCAAGAACGACGACCTCTGGATCGCCGTCGGCACGCACACCCTCTCCCAGCTGAGCGCCCAGCCGTCCTCCTTCCTCGACCAGGCCGCCGCCGTCCGCGAGCTCGTCGCCGAGGCCCACGAAAACAACGAGGACTTCCTCGACGCCGCAAAGTCCCTCGCCGAGATCCCCCTCGACGGCTCCCAGCGGAAAGTCACAAACGACGACAAGGCCCGCGTCTGGGTCCGCATCGCCCGCAACTACCTCGAGGTCGACGATACCACCGCCGCCGAGACGTACGTCAACAAGCTCAAGAACATAATGCACACCGTCCAGGACCGCGACCTCGACCTGCACTTCAAGCTCTCCCAGGCCCGCATCCTCGACTCCAAACGCGACTTTCTGGGCGCCAGCAACCGCTACCACGAGATCAGCCTGAGCCCGGCCATCGCCGAGGAAGAGCGCCTGCACACCCTCAGCATGGCTGTCAAGTGCGCCATCCTCGCCCCCGCCGGACCGATGCGCAGCCGCGCTTTGGGCAAGCTGTACAAGGACGAGCGATCCGCCGGACTGGACGAGTTCGGCATGCTGGAGAAGATGTTCTTTGACAGGCTGCTCGCGCCCGCGGAGGTGGAGAAGTTCGCGCAGGGCCTGCAGCCGCACCAGCTCGCGACGACGGCCGACGGGTCCACCGTCCTGGCCAAGGCCGTCGTGGAGCACAATCTGCTAGGTGCCTCGCGCCTGTACCGCAACATCGGCTTCGAGGCGCTCGGCTCGCTGCTCGGCCTGGACGGGGAGAAGGCGGAGGAGACGACGGCGCGCATGATTGAGCAGGGTCGGCTTCTTGGCCGGATCGATCAGCTAGAGGAGGTGATTTGGTTCGAGGGCGGCGAGGCCTCGGGTCAGAAGGGCAGCGGGCGGGCGGAGGTGACGGTCGGCAAGGAGATGAGGCAGTGGGATGCCAACGTGCAGAGCATGGCTGAGGAGGTCGAGAACGTGACCAACGCTTTACAGAAGCAGTTCCCCGTGAGTACCGCCCCTTTCTTGGACATATTCTGTGCAAACGCGGCTAATAATCGTCCGACTCAGGAATTCGTGGAGGCCAACTTGGTTGTATGAAATGACGGCTACGACTCGATGATGAACATATCTGGCGTTGTAAAGGGGGATCACTGGCGTTCCGGGGAATCACACAAAACAAGCATAGCACATGAGACCACTTATCAGAGAGGGCACCTCGGCAGCCGGAAAGGCAGACAGCCGACAATAGAGAGATGTCAGCAAGAAAGAGTAAAAGGGTGCATCATAAAAGGTATCTAATCCAAGTCTCTCATCCGCACGACCACGTATCCCTCACTTAGCGACCGTGGGTCGCCCGACTCCTCGTCAAAGGAGATGTCCTCCTCCTTGTACCGCTTCGTGCGTCGTGACCTGCGCGAGTTGGGGTCGCGCTCTAGTTCGATAAAGTTGCCCAGCGCCTCGGCGATGTGGCCGCCCATCCAGTCGTAGCCTGCCGGGGTGAAGTGTACGCCGTCGTCCCAGTACTTCTTACGCTCTCTGTCTGGGAGGGCGTGGTAGGGGATTCTGGCGTTGAGATCAAAGGCGTAGCTGAGCTGCGGTCAGTATTTCTCTCCTTTTTCGCGTGACGACTTGGGTTGTGAAGAAGTAGACTTTGACTTACTAATTTGGCGCCTCATGTGAGAGTATGGCAGAGTTGAGTTGGCTCCGCGCGGCGTCCACCTTCGTATGCTTAATGGCCGTCTCGGGTACCGTTAACGCGAGGACCTTGCTTCCCTTCTCAAGGGCTGTGTTGTAAACTGCTAAGAGAGACTGGAAAATCTTCTCTGGAGGCACGCTGTATGCCAAGTCGCTGCAAGAGCGTTAGCACTTATCTGAGATGCGGCCACGGTGAATGAGCTTGAACTTACTTTGTGCCGCCCAGGATAATAACCCAGTCGTACACTGTTGGGACTGATTTACCGGCGGCGGGATCAAATGATACTGAGTTCACTACATTTCATCAATCAGCATCATACATGAGAAGCTATGAGTGAAACGTAAAGTGAGATATCGTGTGAGATGAAAGTGGACGGCGGCAACGGACCTTCGCTCGCGAACCGCTGTGCAAAAGCACCCTGGGTGACGACATCTCCCGGCATGCCGTTGTCGGTGGCGATGACTTGCGTGTGGGACAAGTCCTTGGACAGCTTCTGCGTCAGAGCGATGGAGTACGGGTGGTAGACTGAGCCGTAAGCCGAGAACCCGGCCGTCAGCGAGTCGCCGAAGCAAAAGATGCGGAGCGTCTTCTCCTTGGCCATCTTGGTCTGCCTCTTCCGTGCCCTTTGTGGTCTTCTTTCCCGGCTCCCGTGCTGTTCGTCGTCTCTCGGTCTGTTCCGAACGAAAATGTGGTCCCCAGGCTGATGCCGATGTACTTCCAGACTCGTTAACAGATATCCGATTGAATGATGCAATCGAGGGCGGGTAATGGTGCAAATGAAGCAAGGCTGTCAGCGTCGGAGGTACGACTCAGGAGGATTTTCAAGCGGTGAAGGATATTGAAATCTATCTTGAGATGAACGGCTGGTACGTGAGAGGTGCAAGTCGAGATACTGTAGATGTCGGAGGTCGTTGAGGCTGACGGAGGTGACTGAGGTCAGGTGGGGAGGCAGCAGCGGTCGGGTGGTCACTGCGCGCACGGGATTGACGGACAGGGAACCTACGGTGGGGGCGGGGACGGGTCCAGTGGAAGGGGGGAGGGTTGGCGAGGAATGGAACCGCCTGTGATGGGGAGTCCCCTGGGCGGGTTTTAAGGCTCCTGCAGCGCACCGGGGTCCCCCGCCTACCCTCACTGCCAGTCATGCCAAAGTAGCCAGCCGAACATACCTATGTACGGTACTTCATACTTGATGCTCAAAATGCAGCCAGGCACCTCAGCACGCGATGATTGACAATGACTGTGAGCACAGGCAACAGCAGAGAGGCAGTGCCTGCTTCATCTCCTGGTCCCACCATGTCACAGCTTGCGACCTGCTCTCGTCTGGGGGCGCTGATGTAAGCTCTTTGGATACCTAGATGCGTGTCACCGTCCACGGATGATCTGAAGCACAAGCCGGACGGACCGTCTTCTAGAGAATTCCACGCAAAACGAAACACCATGGCAACTGGACTTGGAGGACAAAACATTTCCTTTTTCTGGAAAGTTTCCTGACAAGGTTTCACAGACCCCCACGAGTGTGACGTACAGCATAGCAGAAGGATGGATCAATCGTCAAGAAACCCCTGTCAAAGAGGTGCTGTTGATTTCTTTCCTGGCCTATCTACTTCTTTTTGGCTTCATCTTGTATCTCTCGCCGTCTGTCGTTGGGCCCTTTAAATACCGTTATAAAACATTAAGTACATCTATATACATCCGTTGCCCCATCCCAGATTTCGTTTGGTATCTATCTCCACGTCCAAGACAATTTGGATATCATGAGTAAGTCGTCATGGAGAAACAAGAGAGAAAAAGAAAAAGAAAAAGCCAGAGCACAAGGGGTATTGCCTCCATGATTACGTTTCGTCATCATCACGCAAGTTCGGGCTGGTGCCATCGGCCTCTTTCCGTATGCCACCACCGTTCCTTGTCCTTCTTCTCCGCCGCCGACGAGGACACGTTCCAGCGGCCGGTGCAGCCTTCCTTGCCGTTGGGGATGTCCTCGCCGTTGCTGCCGGCCATCAAGTCTGACATCTCGACTATTCCACCACGCTCGTCTTTCGCGCCAGTGTCCGGACGGAGGTTGTATGAGATGCGGCTCTCAATGGTACCCATGAAACCTGCCAGTCCGTACTTCTCCAACAGCGTGCCATCTTCATCAATGACGTTGACAAAGAACCGCGGGAACGGCCGCGCGGCCTCGAGGCGGGCCTGCGCTGCCAGACGGGCCTGGTGGAGATCGGTGCACTCTAAGAATGTCTCGGTGGGCGGCAGTGTGGCGGCCTTGGTCGGGAATTTGGACTTGGTCGGCGATCCAGGCGCCGCGGCGGGGAACGAGGCGCTTCGGGCAACAGGCTGGCGGAATCGGTCGCTGGCGAGGTCGACGCGCTCGTAGGGGCGGCAGAGAGCTTGGAAGATGCCCTCGGGATCATTCGGGGTGCGGAGGCTGCGAAGGGAGGGGAAGCCGGAGGCTGCGATGCTGCGGGCGAGGATCGAATCCGCTGCGTTTGCGTGGGTGGTGTTGCTTGTGATGTCCCAGTGGAGTTTGCGCAGGGAACCAGACGCAAGGTAGGGCATGAGCCAGATGAAAGTGTCTTCGGGGAGAGTAGGGGCGAAGCTCTGGACGAGGGTGAATGCTTCGAGGTAGGTGAAGTTGGAGAAGATGCGAGCCAGGGCGGGCAGGGATTCGAGGTTGATGTGGCGCAGAGTCAGTTTCTGGATCGCCTGGCTTGTAGGCAAAGTCGCCAAGGCCGAGATTCCGGCACAAGTGACACCGGGGACGTGGGAAAGAGATAGTGTGCGCAAGGGAGGGAGCGAAAGGAGGGCGTTGTCGTTGAAGGCAGTCACCGGCATGTGAGACAGGTACAGGTGCTGCAAGGACGTCAGGTGCATCAGCGCCGAGCTGACGAGATTATCGGGGGTGAGCGTCGCGCCCGGGAGGCAGTGAATCGTCAAAGTGCTGAGGTGAGCCCAGTCGACGTGGTATTCGAGGAAAGTAGCGCTCTGGTGCGGTTGCAGATCGCCAGGCGTCACCATCTCGCGCTGGCGTTGGGTTAATGTTGGGACATTATCAGAAGAGTTCGAACGGCCCAATCGGTGCTGTCGCTGGAACGGTGAGGGCTGGACCACCCAGTCCATGTGTTTAAGACGCTTGCGCGTCGAGAGGGCGTGGTACAGCTTGCTGAAAGAGTGGCTGTACTGAGGGTGAAGACCGATGAGGCGCTCAAAGTTGGGACAGGCCATGATGAGGGCGGCCACCTGGTTGTGATAATCCTCCAGCGCGACGCCAACGGGCGGGCTTGGGACCTTCACGGTGTGAACCATGGCGGCGAGGTACGCGTTCGATCTCAGAGTTCGTCGTAGAAGCATCATTCGGGAGCCGAGTGCGAGCTTGTACTTCTTCTTCTGCGCAGTCGAGTCTGGTCCCACCAGCTGGATATCCTCGTATCTTGAAAGTCGTCAGCGAACAGAACGTTGTCGTAAGAAGACCACCTTACAATGCCACTCGTGCGTATTTGCACCATTTCCGAGCAGTCAGGCTGATGGAGCACAGATCCCTCATCCAACATGTCGCACAGCTTTCACTACTCCTGTCAAGATGTAACTTCTTAAGCTCGCCCAGGATGAGCTCCAGCACCTCTCCAGGCAGCTTTGCAAAGATCTCACCAGGCTGTGCCTTCTTCCTGAAGACGACAGGCTGGCTGGGTCGCTGATACAGGTAGTCGGGTCTCCACGAGTCCCTCGAATCGAAGCTGGACCTGTTGCTGCTCCATGACGAGCTCCTCGACCTGGAGTCGAAGCTGTCCCTCGGGCTGTTGACGCTTGTCACGGTGACAGTGGAAGCCTGCGAGAGCTTCCGCGGTCTGTTGAGTGGGGTGGCGGGCATGGCCTCGACGACACCCTTGGATTCGGCGGGTGTTGTTTGCAGTGCGTATGGTACGCGGGCTATCCGCGGGCTCGATCGTGCGGGCGACATCGCATTCATCGAGGAATCACGCTTGGAGTATAATTCCGTAGGGGCTCCAAAGTATGCTGGGGCCGGTCCGTGGCTGGCGGCCATGACGGGGGTCAGGGTGACTGCGGTAGCGACTGACGGGCGTGAAGAAAAACGGCCGGGGACTCTCAGGCGATTACCATCGTGTACGACGTAAGTGGAAGCAGCAGGTGAGGCGGAAGCTCGTCTCTTGTGTTGTTGGACTCTCGGGTTGTTGCTACTAGGTGGTGGGAGAAGACGTGTTAATAGGTGAGATCCAACAAGAGCAATCGGAAATCGGCAACGGCCCCGGTCCCAGTGTCCAAGCCAAGAAGGTACAAGCAATCGGCAAACAGTGAAAGCGAGAAAAAAGAGAAGATTAAACAAGCGCCAGCATGACGTGACGAATGGGGGGGTTCAGTCATGTTTAATACGAAAAGACGGGAGGAAAACAGCGCAGAGGCCGGCACTCGCACCAGCGCTGGCACCGGCGGGGAGGCTGTAGCCTGGACCCTAGGCTTTCAGCGGAGGCAGGCTGCGTAAGGTACTCTGTACCGTAACTACGGACACCAACACATCCGTGGAAGACACACACAAAACGCAACGACAGACAGGTGCATCGGCAGTGCTCAGACAATGGCTCTGATCATCCTATCCCAATGGAGCGTGATGGCACTGATGGGTGCCCGCCCATCGACCATCCACCGGCGGGGGGGTTGCCATGGGCCGTGGAACCAAGGGCCCTCCCACCCCTCCCACCACCCCCTTGGGGGCGCACTTGGAGCTTGAAGGGGGTCCCTGGCACCTGGGACCGGCGAACCTCAGCCGTGGGTTGTCGCGGGTGTTGTGTCGAGTCTTGGGAAGGCGTTGCAAGGCGGCCGGGCTAAGCAACGCCGTAGTCGAGTCGCGCAACCCGGCAACGTGGGCGCGGCGAACGACGACGACTCCCTACTCTAGCACTTGCGCTAGGGCTTACACTATGTGCGGCGCGAAGAGGGACGAGAAGAGGAAGAGAAGGAAAAAATCTTGTTGGTCTCTTGCAGCATCCAGCCTTGGAGCTGTATCGTGCCGCTTGGCGGGTAGCGGCGCGAGTCTTGTCCTAGCCGGCCACTGGACAGAGACGCGCGCCACTGTTCCTGGTGGAAATTAGGAAGCTCCTTTGGTCCCCTGGTTCCTGCTGGGCTTATCGTTTCCTTCCGAGAAAACGTCTGCAGTCTCCGTTCTCGTGCTCCCTGGCACCAAGTGATTGAGAGCGTCCGCTCCAGGTCGGAAGGGTGGGTGATTTGCGGCTGCTGGCAAGGATGAAGGATGATTCAAATCATGGGTCTGCCCAACTTTGAGCTGCATATTGGAGATTGGAGATGAAAGAGCAAGGGGGTCGTATGTTGCGCTGTGTGTCTTTTTGGGCAAGGGGGAGACATGGAGCAGAAGTCGAACTCGGGGGAACCAAAGCTCCATCCATGTTGGGGATGACGATGCGTGTCCATCACCAGAAGTGACAGCTCGCGATCAGCGAGCTCTCGTCTCCGCCCGCGCCGAGGCTGGGCGGAAGATCTCGTGGGGACGCAATTTCAGAAGAAGCAGGTTCGAGGAACGACTGCGGCATTGAAGGAAGCGGCTTGCTCGTCTGTGGGATTTTTCCCGCATGCTGCTGCAGCAAGTGTCTTGTCTTTCCAAGCCTCCCCGAAAAGCAAGTGCAAGTGCAAATGGAGAGAGCATTTCCAATAACCAACACTAACAGGCACCCCGTCGACTCAGCTCCACGTCCCGCTTGGAAACATCGGGCGCCGATGAAATGAGGCGTGGAGCAGCGCCCCATTTAACTCTTTCGGGAGATCGAACGACGCGACAACAGTCGGACTTGTATCCAAAGTCGTCATCCAGATTTCCAGATTTTTTCTTAAAAATGTGGGCAAGAAACGGTGGAAAAACAGAAAAACGCAGCATGAACATGCGCATGCGCAAACAACGTGGGTACCAGGGATCGACTTTGACAAAACGGGATAATCGGATGAACCTGAAGCCCAAACGACCCCGTCCCAACTCGCAAATGGATGAAACCATCCTCAAAGTCAGGACAGGCATCGAAGAGGGCGCAGCAGCAGCAGAAAAAGTGCTGCAGCATGAGGCACGCGGTAACATAAATGACTAGCAGACCCGGAAAATGACTAGTAAACCCGACTGCAGCAGAGACGAACACGAACGTATTCTCATGCAAAGTGAAGTGTACATGCGCGAAGGACAGAAAACAGACTGACAGCCTGACCGACGGCTTTTTTGACGCGCGCGCGAAAACGAGAAACAAATTGCGATGGAAAGCAAAGGTGGATGATGAACCCAAGAAACGGGGGCGGCCAATGGAAGACGGAGGCGCGAAAACCAGAGAGTAGGACGAAAGAGGGACTTACGAGACTTCTGATTTGCTGCTATTTTTGACATCGAGAAAGACGTGGGCGTAGACGCCTCGGCGGATCTCGTTGGCACGCTTCTCGTCCAGCGCCGAGAGGGATTGCCTGGCCGCGGGGGCAGGCTTGAAGCCGTGGTTGATGCTGATATTGCTGCTATCGTCGTCGTTGTCGTCGTCGTACTGCTGGAGTCGCGTCCCGCGGTTGCGATCGTAGTAGCCACCACCACCGTGACTGTGGCCCCGACTGTAACCATGCACGCCGTGGCCGTAGCCGGGAACGTATGTCGGGTCGAATCGATGAATGCTGCCGTGGCCGTTCATCGCGTGGTTGCCCGCACCACCACGGGTACCACCACCGCCGCCGATGACGACGCCGCCGCTCCCGCCGCCGCCAGCGGGTGGGATCTCGTAGTACTGCCGTCCGCTAATCATTTCGCCGTGTATTTCGGGTTTTCCGAGTCTCAATTGGCTCGTTGCCTCCTCGTCTTGGCCTTCGGTGAGATTCCGTCGTTGCTGGGGCGCTGACCGACTCTTTTTCGCTCCTCACAATTCTCTTCTCTTTCTCACTCAATTCAGCCGCACCGCTCGCCGGGGCCGTCTGAGGGGGAGACTGCTCTTTTTATTGTCGCCAAAGGGTGCCCGCAACCTTGGTCCTCATGAGGTCGATATGCCGTAATTTTGTGTGTGTTTTTAATATATTCCAACGTGGGGAGCTTGGCTAGTTGCCGTCGTTGCCTTGCCGTGTGGGTTCTCGATTCAGTAGCCGACCCGCCCGTTACCAAGTTGAAGGCATCACCAAGCAGGGACTGAAGCGAGCTGAGCTGAAAGGATAGGGGGTCGGAAACAGTGGAAGCCAAGCTCAGACAATCCGGCCGGGACCCATATACCCAAGCAATCCGAACAACCAAAATGAAGAAAATCAAGGAACGAGTCGAGACAAATATGTACCAATGCTAAGAAAGGGGGCTGTTGCGCGCACTCGAAACACAGAGAGAAATGAGCAGCGAGGGCGAAAGGACGAGATTGCGGAATCTCATGCGCTGACCGCATTATATCAGGCTCCTCCCACTCTCTCGCGAGGACGACCACACACACACGCCTCAGCCAACACCCCCAACCCACGCACGCTTGAAATATCCGTCATGTCGTGGGCACGGTAAGACATGTCCATGTGTCGGCGCTCGCCCCCTCAGACCAGGAAGCAGCAGCACCAGAACACACAAGGACCAGGCCTGGTCCAGAGAACTTTTTTTTTGTGCCCTTTACCGCATCTCTACGCAAAGCAACGCAATATGGAGGCAGCATTTCTGCAACACAGCGGCTGGGGCATGCTTTAGTCGGCATGAATGATTGGAATGTGGGCAATCTAACCCCTCTGCCTTCCACGGTGCCCCCCCTTCGTCTAGCCCAGTCCCGCGCCTCTTCCATCAAATCGACGATGTGTCGCAGGCTGTATCCATACACGTCTACCCACAATTCCATTTCAGCACAAGACGACATTTGTGTGCAAAGTTAAGAAAACAAGGTTAACAGGGTGGGTTTGGGCGAGGTTTCTGGACCGCCGGGCGATTCCTTGCGTGGCGGAGGCGGCTGGGACGGACGACGACGACTCCCGGGTTTGCTCGCGGCCAATGGGCTGTCTGGAGGTAGCCAAGGCATATGCCATGATTCCCTGTCCCCCCCCGTTTCGCGGGGTTGCGATGAACCGCCATCGACGTCCAGCAATAGGCTCCTCTGGATAATGCAGGCCATGCACACAGCCCATACAGAGCTGCGCACGTTGCCGTCGTCTTCCGTGGTCCTTTCATGTGAAGCACCTAGGCAGAGAACGCGAGACAGAGAAACAGAGACATGGACAGGCAATGGTGATGTGATCGTGCGTTGGTAGTCGTCTCGGGCAAATAGAGCCCAGTCCCTGAACGGCCCTAAGCTCGCTCCCTCTCGTCGTCTGGTCTCATCTTTTTTCGCTTTTCGCCCAGGGCTCGTCGTCCGGACCTTCAGACCAACGAATGAGGTGACCCGCGAAGCATATCGGCGAGAGGTTGGGGAGATCCCGTTCCGCCCTGCAGCGTCAAACACACACACCTTCACACGCCCACACGCACCAAGATTGGATAGGACGTACGTACGGGGGTTGTTGCTGCAGCTGGCCATGACGGGATTGTCGGTCTGGAGTGTTTCGAGCTTTCGATCCATGGCACAGACGGGGCTGGAACCTCGAGGGCTGCAGCATCGGGTACGCCGCTGCTTTCCTGCCTTGGCGGATTGGCTAAACCGCTCTCTCTCTCTCCAGTACACCAGGAACAGAATGCCGTGGATGTTGCTTCAAGTGGGAACTCCAACGGACGACATGGCAAATCCCACCGGGCTTCCTTTTCCCCTCTTCAGCTGAGAGCTGAGAGCTGAGAGGCCCGGCTTGCACCCTGGACGCCGTAGCGCGTGCTGAGATCGCATCAACGACGCCTCGTCAATCTTGAAAGGCGCTTACTCGCATCCGCCTCCCGCTGACTTCCCGCGCACTCGAAGCAACCCATCTTGCCCAGGGCTGTTATCGCTATCACCGCAATTTCGATCTCACGACTCATCTCAACAACAGCCCGAGAGCGGTACCGGCGAGATGGTGTGATGATGGTATGCAGTCCCTCCCGCCCGGGCCATCCCATCTTCTCTTGCCTGCCCTTCGTCCCAAGCCGAGCCGAGAGAGGGTGATGGGACTTTTAGGTGGAATGCAAATAGCCATGCTGGAGGGGATAGTCCCGAGAGATCGGAGCAAGGTAACTAGTTTGGGCTAAGTCGTTGCCCTGGTGAGAAACTCGTTTCAACGGGCGTCCCTGCTGTTTCCTGCCCTAGACCCAACTCTTAGCGCAAACGGCCCAACCTCTGGACTTTTTTATTCTGTCTTTTTGGGGCGAGGAATGTTATCGACAATGGCTCTGCATTGTATGCATCTGTCATTCTTAAACTGCGTCGCAGGCGAGGTACTTCTTAGCGAGCGCTGGGCTAATGCACCCGCGTCTGTTCCTGGCGGCGCCGCCACTTGCGCGTCAAAGTGCGCGATAATGATGAAGCTGCTGCTGCTGTTGCTGCTGCAAGGGCGCCACCGGCCAGGCTTTCTCAACAGCCGACTTTGTGAAAAAGGATTCATGAAACTTGGAAGGATTGAATGTGGATGGTGTGGACCAGACGCCTCCCGCCCTTCAGCCCAGAGACTTGACAGTCACAGATTGAACGAGACAGGCGTCATGATGCGCCTCCGTTTCTTCTTCTTCCTCTTCAGTCGCCGCCCCCCGGAAACTGGGACGGACAGTCACCGGAAGGCAGAGTGGGGATCTTCCTGTCACCGCAAACCTACCTTGCCTGACTCCCAGCCTCTCTTTCCGGGGCAATGGGGGCCGCGGCGGCTTGCCGACATCTCCGCATTGCATCATCGCCTTTCTTGCCGGCTGAACCACCCCCGTTGAACGGATATCTCGGTTTGGAGAGTGGGTGCGTGTTCGTTCCCACCCGCGTGTGATATTCCTAGCTACAACACAGCGGCGTGCCGCCGCCGTCTCGGCACGAAAGTCCAAGAACCCCAATCACCTTGGTCGAACTATTTCACAATGCCTGCCAAACCTGGTTCGGTTCTTTCTATGGACCCATGATCCCATCATCTCTCTGCCCAGGAACAGAAAAAACAAATCTCAATAACGCCCAGCTCGCAAGGACTTCTTCGTGCACAGAGGTTTCGCCAAAACGGACGGAGGGCCGCGCACTGCCCCTCGCGCGGGATTTAAGGTGAGGTTCGTGGGGCCAAAAAACGTCCAAACTCCCTCTCGCCAAAAGAAGTGCACCGGCGGTCCGTTCTTTTGGCCCAGTTCCTTGGACGACCCGGTTCGTCCACACGTGCTTGCCGTGAACCGGGTTCCGCTGTCATCGAACTTAGTCCACTTCATAAACGAGGCCTCGTGGTCAGGAACATGCATCGCAAGGACTGAACAACAACATGGTCCGTGAGGTCAGACTTCACACCTCACCAAATCCAACTATGAATAGCTCAGGACTCTGGTCCTCGGACGCCATCGCATGCTTGGCTCTGCGTGTAGGGACAGACAACAACGCAGTTCGTCCTGCGATCTCAGATATCCCTGTGGCAACCGACAGCTTGCATTGCATCTTCAGATCGGATCCCCGATGGGCGCGTGCTCTGCATATGCGTCTCCGATGGCGTCGCAGTCTGCATGAAGAGAGAAGAAGGGTGAAGTCCGAAATCTTTGGTCACTAGGTATGTACAGCTGGCTGCCTCCGTGAAGCTGCTATTATGAACGTTATATATAGACTCGGGTAGCAGTTCTTGCCACCCGTGGGTAAACCACACCATGGCACTCCGCCGCTTGAGGAGTGCCCGCACCCTTTCTCATGTTATATACAAGTCAATCGTTTATAAAACGTGATCAAAACACAATACCAGTACGTCGACATGTCATCAAACCACCGAGAACTGTACTCGGCGAGCTGGCTTAGTGTCTAATTCATGCGAGTCCTGAGGTGGAACGCTCTCTTGATGGTCAATGACCGGGGTCTCTGCAGTGCTGGACTCGCCGTTCATCGCGATGTTGACGGATGGGGCAGCATCGTCTTCGGCAAATCGCGCTCTGCGCGCAGGGCGGGCAGGCGCACTCCGTGGTTCTGGACTGCGAGAACGTTTTCTTCCGTTGGTTGTCTTGGCGTTCGCCGGTTGTCGATTCTTGATGGGTGAGCTGGGACCAATGTCACCCATGATGAGGTCCTGGTCAGGATGGTGTTCTCTTCCGAAACCGCTGCCGAATACCGGTTGGGGATATTTCAGCGGAACTGCTTGAGCTAGTTTCTCCATCTCGCCCTCGGGCAGCGGTATGATGGCGGCGTTCAGGATCCAGTTGTAGATCGGACGGTCGTCCAACATTGTCTTGCACTTCCAGTGCTCGATCTGGGACATGCTCTTCTTCCTCTCAACAATCACTTCCTCGATACTGCCACGGAGAATCAACGTCTCTACCGTAACGGGCTTCTGCTGACTGATACGCCGAGCTCGTCCAACAGCTTGTGCCTGTATCTGGGGGTTCAGGACCGGGTTGATGAAGTAGATTCTCGAAGCCGCGCGCATATCCAGACCGACAGCTGCTTGGGACAGGTCCATGAGAATTACGCTGTTATGCATGTAAGAGACTACTCGATGAAGGAGGTAGGTAGCAAACTGACCGAAACTTGTCTTCATGGTTGAATGTATTAATGTACTGCATCTTTCGATCGTATGCCAGTGATTTGGCGTAAATTAGGTGTGACACTGAAATCTGTGTTCGTCAAGTTAGCTTTGCGTTGCATAGACTGTAGGTGCCTACTCACCACGTCGAGCATGCTGGCCAAGTACCATGCCACATTCTCATTTTCATAGAAGACAATGATCTTCTCCGTCGCTTGATGTTCCACAATACTATCGAGCAAGTACGACAGCTTGGCTGACACCGTAGAAACTAGCTCTGCCTTCAAAAGGTCCTCCGGCAGATCCTGTTGAGAGAATGACTCTTCGGGGGCGTGGAACGCGTTGGCGCGCAGATGCCGAGGCGTCCTTTCCCCTCCAAGCTTTGTGTTTCCTGCAAGTGTGTCCGGAAGCTTGGTTGCTCGTCTTTCCGCCTTGGTGGATCGGGCGCTGGTGATGCTGCCGTCTGCCATCATCTTATAGCCTTCCTCCTTAAGCTGGCCATTCATCAGACTATTCAACTTGGTTGCATCTCCCAGCGAAGAGCGGATGACCTTCTGAACACCCATCACCATACCTGCGTCGGTACAAATTGGGTTGGTGTCCTGATCGTCCATAGACCAGGCTCTACTAGCACCATTTGGAAGAAAGTCCCGAACAAAGATGGGAATCTCGTTGAACTGGTTGCTGAGTTGTTTCAACGGATTGCTGAGGGCAATGCGAGCCACTGTTATGGCCTTTTCGAGCAAAATCTTATCACTCGGGCTGATCGGTACCTTCTTTTCCTTCAAAAACTCTTCGGCGGTATCGAGCGACTTCTGTAAGTCTTCGGGCGCATAGAATGAACCACCGAAGAAGCTAGCCTGCTTCAAGTTGTGTAGTAGCTGGAGGAGTGACTTCTTCTGTCGAGGATGGAAAAAGTAGTCTACATCCTGCCGTTGTGACTGTACTGCGTTGAAGATGACCATCATCGAGAAGATGTTGAGCGATAATTTGTCTTGATAGGAACCTTCAAGAACAACAATATTCTCGTCGACGGCAGGAAGCAGCTTGTTGAGTTCAGACAGCTGGTGCCTGATGAGCAGCGTGTTCAACGTTGCCCTGAGAATTCCCTTGCGTCCGCTACTCCTCGAGCTGTGCCGCGGCTGCATCACATAGACGGCCCAGTCTGCAGGCGTATCTTCCGCTTCATGGTAGGTATTTGACCAAGGCCGGGCGTTCAGGTACAGCGATGCTATCGCTCCTACCTTCTCAAGATCTTGCTTCTCCGTGTCCGCAGAAGCCATCTTGTCTCCAGCACTGGCTACCTTGCTCTTGCCGTCTACACCGTACAATCCTGGAGTTGGTGTTCCGGTGACGATCCATCGAGAAGTAATCTGCATCAAGTCCAGAGCTAGCAGCAGGTCGCTCTTGCTCGAAATCCTGGAATATCCAAGCTTGTGGCCTTCATCAACAATGCAGCGCTTGAAGTGAACTTCTGTCAGGGGACACCCATGTAGCATAGTCTGCTTGTATATCCTGCCGAGTCGGGACTGAGAAATGAGGACGATATCGTACTTTGCCAAGGAAGGGGCGTCGGGAATTTCTCCCACCTGACTGGCCAGGGTGAGGACCTTGAGACCAGCTCGATCCTGGCGAGCGGTGTGCTTCGCAATCTCTTGTTCCCATTGTTTCATGAGGTTGTTTGGGACAACCACCAACGATGCGTGACTGTGCAATATCTTTGTTGGTGGCGGCTCGGCCGTCGATTGGTATCGACTGCTTCGCTTAGGCGGAGCAGGTGGAACATGGTAAAAGCCAGGATTCCGTTCAATAGCAGCAATGCATTTTGGGAACTCCAGATCCTCCACGGTGCCGTATGTGTTAAAGTACGTCTTCCAGGGAGCCGCGTTTCGAGTGATGCATGAAGCCGCCATATCTGCGAGAGATGCTACCCGCTTTCTCACAGGAACGTCGTTTCCACGGTAAATCTCTGGCGTTTGGGTGGCCGAGTGCTTGGTCGCTAGAATCACAGACAGGCAGATGAGCGTCTTGCCTGCCCCCATCTGCTCGGCAAGGATTCCACCTCTGACTCCATCATAAAACCGTGGCTCTTTAAGAAGTACGCTCTGGCTGGGGTCGAAGTAGAACGTGGCGCCATTCTGGTCAATGCTCTTGAGTAGGCGGGGGTCGAGGACCTGGCCGGGCTCGCTTTCTCGCTCAATCATCAGGGCTGCTGATCGGCGCTGGTAATCATAAAGTGTCGTGGTAAGGCCAGGAACGTCGCTATCCAGAACTGCATACGCCGCCTCACGGTCCCCGTGATTGGTGATGACGTTCGGGTTGGGGTCTGGCGAGGGCATGCTGTTGAACATCTCCAAAAGCGTGCGAGACTCATCTTCGTCGTCGAACTCCTCCTTCAAGTGATCACTGAGATTGACGGGTATATGGGCAGGCCGGCCTGACCAAGTTTGCGGTGAAAAGTCGAGGGCTGCGAAGAGTAAGCCGCGGGAGTGCTTCAGCTTATTCCGCTCACGATCGACGAGGCGCCTGTCAACGTCATCGGGCAGCATGTAGACTCTGATGATGGCAACATGATCTTGAGAGACAAAGACTTGCAACATAATCCATCTGGCGGCCGCGAGATTCCTGAACACCGTGACGGGTTTTGACCTCAAAAGAGCCTCATCCGTGTCGTCAAAGTTCGCCAGCTGGGTGGTGCTGATGTCGGGGACCGGATCTGCTGGATTAATGTCCGCCCAGTTTCCGTAACGGTCTCGCAATCGCTTCCAAACATCGCTTTGAATACCGGAATTCTCCCTGGTGATGACCAAGCATCCCATGGGGAGGTAGTTTGATGGCGTCGACATTGGGCAAGGGAGTTGCCACCGGGGGCGCCCGGTTCGCTGAGGTATTAGGTGGTGCAAGTCATGCGGCGGAGGCCACGTAATTGCCGCTGCGAAGTTGAGATAGCCTCGATTTGATTTGATATGTATGGCCAATGTCGATGGTGAAGATAGATCTCCCAAAAAAAAATAGGTACGTCGCTGACGTTTCAGTGTAAGAGGCAGAAAGTGTGAAGGTGAGGTGAAGGTTCCGAGTGGAAGCCTAGTCACAGTGAATGAGGCAACCGCTCACACAGTCTGCCTCACAGATCACGGCGCCACGCACAGTGCGGCGCATTGGCGGCCGGAACAAGGCAAGTGCAACCCAGGATCCTTCCCAACTTAAATGTATAAGTCGTGCAACCGTTGTTCTCCATCGTATAAACTCGGTGCAGTAATATCAAGGTGAGAAGCTTTCCGGAGCCTAGATCAAGGTGATGGACGTGAATACTACGAGACATACACATGATTTGGTCAGAATGGAACGGATGAGAAGCGACCGCGCCAGTGGAAAGTACGTACCCAGCAATAGTGAGCGACGACATCTAGAAGAATACTGATACTTCGATCAGAAGACGGGTTTCAAGGATCTTTTCACTGTCACACCTTCACCGATCGGGAGTGTCCGAGTAGCAAAACTCAATTGTATTTTACTAAATTTCCCCCAACTTCAGCCGAATTATCATGTCCACGAATTAAACCAGGAATTCAAGCTCCCCAGAGCGTAAACTCCCTTCGCCAATGTTTCATGACCCAAGTTTCCCCACCACGCATAGCCAAGAGGAGATTACCGCCGTTTCTTTTTTGCTGTCCTGCACCAAAACCCGCGCGCGAGATGCCTTTCACGGCAACGGCCGCGATATCCCAGGGAGAAGGTTTCTTAGTTCTTCTTGCCCTTGGGGGTTGAAGTGGCCTTGAAGTTAACGGCCTGGCTGGTCTTGCCCTTGGAGGCGGTGTCGGTCTTGACGTTGTTGTCGAGCTTCTTCTGCTCGGCGTCGATCTTGGCCTGGTTGCTGGCACCCTGGGCCTGCTGGACCTGCAGGGCGAGGACCTCGAGCTGGAGCTTGAGGACCTTGTTCTTGATCTTGCCGACCGAGAGGGCATCCTTGTCAGCGCCAGAGGCCTTGGCGATAGCGTCGTTGAAGCCACCGGCGTCGGTCTCGGCTCCCTCGGCGGCAACACGGGCAGCCTGGAGGATGGCGAGATCGTCCTTGCTGACGCCCGCGAGGTTGGCCTTGATCTGGTCGATCTGTTTGGTGTTAGTGGACGGTGATGGTGATGTGTGACTGTTGAAAGTGACTTACGGGGAACTTCTGGGCGACCTCAGCGAGGGCGTTTCCGCCAACGCCGTCAGAGACCTGGAACTGGGAGTAGTCCTGGACGGACAGGAGCTTGGCCTGGCGGCTCTCGACGGGAGCGGAGAAGCCGGTGGCGGCAAGGGAGAAGAGAACGGCGACCTTGGTGAAGTACATTTTGTCGTTGGTGGTTGATGTCGGTGTGTTGACGAAAGGTATTGGTGAATTGTATAATATTTACAGTTTTAAGGTTATTGACCGGCAAAGAGTGAATGGGACAGCGCTGCTGTGGAATGAAGGGAATGGATATTATTGAAGATTGGATGAGATGAAGCTGATGATGAGAAGAGACAAGACAGATGATGGTCGGGGCGAGCGGGAGGATCTTATACCACGAGTTCCTATAGCCAAACCGTACTGTTGCTCCATCTGGTTGTCGCCCTGGACCCCGCGGCTTCCCTCTTCGCCCCATCCCATCATTGCTTCATCGGGCCAGTAGACCGTCTGACAGAAGGCTCATCTCAGATTCCGCGACAAACACCACCCCATATGCGGCCATGGGCCTGAGTCGTCCGAACGAGAAAGAGCGGTAATAGCAGTAATACTGCCCATCGGCGTCTCATCCGAGGCCCTGATGCAACATGTGGACTGGTTCAGGTGCATCACAAGTCCCAAGGGCCGTCGAGGCCGGGGTCGTTCCCTGGTCAACTCGGTACGAGCAGACAAGCTTCTTTGCCAAGCGCACGATCTACGAGGAGCGTGGATTGTTCCATTGAGCGGGTCAGGGTCCAATCAGAGGTCTTGGTAGGTCTCTACGACCTTGACGAGCTCGGGGGCCGCCCGTCGGGTGCTCCATTTCCAGAGGTCGGGCAAAGCTGGAGGTTTTGGTTGTGTGCCTGTTGCGAGTTTGAAGTCTGTCGAAGATCACGGTGGATCTGCCTCATACCCCTGGCAGCTAAGCCCGATCAGGTGGGACCTGTTAGCTGCATGTCTTAAGCGTGTGGGGCCCCTTGCTGTCACTGCAGGTTTGCGCGTGGGAGAAGGGGCACTAAAAACTGAGCACTAACGGCAGGGCAGCAGCAGCACGGGGTCGAGGGAGAGCCCTGGCGCTTCACATCACGTCTTCTTTCCTCTCCTGCATCTCATCGCCCAGCCTCTATCCCGGAGTCATTCCCGTCTTGGCCAACTCCTGTCCCCTGAGCCCGTTTCTCACCATCATCTCCAACTCCTTTCCCCACTCTTGAATTCTTTCGGATGACGAGATCCGCAAATGGTAACGGGGATGACCGAGTGCGACCGATCATGGTTACCCTCATCTCCAGAGCCATCGATAGCGTGCTCGACTCAGGTCCAGAGATCGTCAATCCTAATGCCCTACTCCTGTCTTCTATTGGCCTCAAAAGCTGTAGTGAAGTCGCGCCCGCCCATCTAGACGGCAAAAGATGAGCGTGTTTCGAGTCTTGGCCCTGCATTGGCTCTGCCACTTGAACCACTTCATGCAACCCGCACTAGAGATCGGACGCACATCCTCCCGGTGAAATCTAATTCAGTTTCGGCAGCCCTCGCCCGACAGCCCGGTTCCCTGGAGGCATAGCAGGAAGACTCGTTCTTAGTGGCTACTGGGGCCTCAAAGTTGGACGACATCTCATCTCGGGACGTCAACTGAATCTTGCTCCGGGTGACAGGATGCACACATGTTCGTCGCCGGCCGACTCGAGTCGAGGAAATCAGCGCACCGGAGATGTCTCTCACAGCGCCGCAGCACTGCACGTGTCATGAGCTTGAACGATGAAGAGCAAGTCTTCAGCGGTCCTTCTTGCGGTCCTTCTTGCCGAGACAAACCTCTCAAGGACGCCTGACAGCTCTGCACGCTGACTCGGACCAGCATTCAAGTTTGATCTCCCTCATACTTTACTTGGCGAAACGATGCCTGCTCTCTGTGCTCTACTCGGCGAAACGATCTCTGTTTACTCATTTTGAACTCACGTAAGACCAGGGGCATGTATCATATTCCAAGTTTACGAGGTAATAGTCCAATTCAGGGTATCTGGAGCTAACATACCCACAAGCCAAAAAGCATAACCTAGTCTAGGTAATCATCAAAGGAGACCTCTTTCTTTCTTTCCCGTAACGCCATCTTTCCGTCATGTCATGTCCCAAAAGGTTCACAAAAAATGGTATCTACCAGTAGATATCCCGGGGTGGTCGAAGTGAATCTCTAAAAAGAAGAGTCAAAGCCAAATGTCGTAAATGTCGTCAAAAAAAAAAAAGCCGAACCCATGAAGAAAGAAAACCAGCCTCCAACTCCGTTCTGGATCGTCGTCTATCATACCGATGCCAGGTCTTTGCAGTCGTCGTGTCTAAAAGGAGAAAAAAAGACGCACCCGCCCACCAAGTGGAGAGCATCTGCTTACTGGCTCTGGTAGACCTTGACCGAGTTGATGAGCCAGTACGCCTGGGTGAAGGCCTGCGGGTTGGCGGCGACGTAGTCGGAGCACGTCGACGCGAGGGCCGCGCACTCGGCGTTCTGCGACCACACCTTGCCGGCCCAGTCGCCGCACAGCGCGGTGTTGAAGACGAGGTTCTGCTGCTTGAAGTGCGAGGGGATGTCGCAGCCCTGGCCGCCGTTGAACTTGGCGAGCGGCTGGCCCCACGACGCCGGCGTCGGGTTGCCCGAGGTCACGTCGGCCGGGATGGCGCTGCGCGGGAAGAACCAGACGGAGATGGCCTGCGAGTTGAAGTCGACCGCGTACACGCCGCCGCCGATGGCGTTGAAGCCGTCGCCGTAGTTCTGGTTGCTCGAAGTCGACTGGCCGCACCCCGTGCCGGCGTTGCCGGCGTTGCAGTCCTTCTCCTTGAGGGTCGTGGAGGAGACGGTGCCGTCGTTGGTGATGGTGCAGCCGGGGCCGGTGTGCAGCGTCACGGCGTTGGACTCTTGGGTGTTGACGCCCTCGATGATGTCAATCTCGCCAGAGTTGGGCCTGCCGCGGTTAGTTTTCCATTCTCTCTGTTTGCTGACTGTCATTACTCACCAGTTGGGACCAAACATCCAGAACGCAGGCCAGACGCCGCAGCTGCTCGTGGGCATGTGCGCAATGTCGGCGACAAACAGACCAGAGTCGTACGCCTTGTTGGACGTGACGCGCACCGACTGGCGGCCTTGACCGGTAGTCTTGGCGTCGACGCCGAGGTAGATGCCGTTCTGCGCGAAGCCGGCGAGGCCCTTGTCGTTGGCCGTCTGCGCACTGGTGTACGTCTGCGAGCCCTTGGTCGGGTCGGCCTGGTCGAAGAAGCTGAACTCGTGGAAGAAGTTGGTCTGGTCGTAGTTGTCGTGGAGGACGTACTTCTGCGCCTGGGCCAGCCCGGAGCAGAGTAGGGCGGCGGCGCCCAAGACACACTTGATCTTTTGCGAAGGCATCGCGATCTGTGTTATGTCGAAGAGGGAGAGAGGGAAAGAGTCTTAGGTAATAAGAGACTTGCGTGGTTTCCGCTGGGTTTGACCGGGATGAAGGGTGTGGAAAGGTTGAGAAGAACGATTGTGTCTGAAAGGTTTGAATCAAAGGGGAGAAGTGAGAGTCAAAGAGGTCATGGAAGAGCGAGGAAAGAGAATGTTTGAATGTTTTCGGGGTTCAAGTGAGCCGACTATGACGAGGTGGTTGGCGGCACTTGGGTGACGCCGTTCTCGTGAGCCAGCTACGTCGTCCTGTTCTGGATCCTGCTGGGTCCCAAAAGGGAGAGTACTTGGCGATTCGAGGTTGGTTCACACGAACAGGATCTAGACCCTCCTTCTCGTTTCCGTTTCTGTCCTGATGTCGAAAGAATGGAACACCAAAGCGACACGCACGCACAAAAAGGCTGGGAGGCTATGGTATAGTTGCTTGGCTCTTCTCAACTCTTACGTCGACTTGCGAGCGATGATGAGATGGAGGAGCAAATGTGTGTCAGCTGTTTGCTGTTTGGCCTAATCAATAGGACCTGGACCGGCTTGGCGAGGATGTCCGAGATGGGACGGGCTGTGGTTTGTAAAGAAGGAGTGGGACCGTCGATGACGATAACTTCAGCCGGAGAGATTGAAACGGCTGTGCCTGCTGGGGGCTGGGCTTTGGTAAGATTGAGAGAAGAAGAAGAAGAAGTGAAGCACCACCGAGGGTGTGAGAAAAGGAAGAGATGGAAGAAAGAAGGAAGGCTGATGAGGGGCCTTTGCGTCGTCGTGGATACTGAGCAGCCGATGCACACGAGAAGATCATGAGCCTCAACCACATGGGGGAATGCAGCCAGCTAAATACAGTCCTCTTTGAGCAGGTGGGGACGAGGCGAGGACGAGGAGGGCCAGGCCCAAGACCAGGCCAGGCCCTTGCCCTTCGGACAAGTCTTGGGGAACATTCTTTGCGTTGCCTTGAGGAAGTGTGACTGTGACTTGGCTTGACAAGGCGCCCAGAACATGGGACAGAGGGACAGAGACCGAGGGACCAATCTCGTCCGTTGTATCTGACCTATACCGGGGGGCACGTAGACGCACAAAGACATGGGCCATATCTGGGAACCATGGTGAGACTTTTTTTTCTAACTGCAAGTAAACGCTCGTTTGCCTTTGCCCCCCCTGCTCCTCTTCTCGGCCCAACTCCTGTGAGCCTTGATCTTGGGATGCAGACATGTGTGCGCATATGCGGGGAGGGGTGTGTGGTGGATAGGACGGGGTGGTGTTGTTGAGCAGTCGACGAACGACAGGCCCGTTTCAATCTGTTTACCCGCCAAGGGCTTGTCAACTTCTTTACAAGGGGAACCCCGAACGACGACGGAGCGAAGACGGGATGATAGGGGCTCATGGGGCTTCGAATTCGCCTCGGTGGCCGGGTGCCGAGAGGCGGTATGGTTGCACAATGCGAGTCTTTTGGTCCCGAGACGAGATCCAAGAGGTCCATGTTGCCGGTTGTCGACATGTTTTGAGTGGGTTTGTGCGTCCTTTTTTTTTTTTCCGCGGTCTGGCATGGCAGTCTGGGCGAAGAAACAAAAAGTCATGTAGGTACACTGCGGATAGGCACACAACATCCGGCGACGGGAGGGGGATCTTCAAGGACCCTGCCCATAGTGGGGGGGGATCACTACAGTTGGGACGAAAAAGCAGAAGAAAAAAAGGAGAAGAGCGGAACAGAAACTGGAGACCTCCACTGCGCGAG